AAAGCTAATTAAGTGTGTTGGTTGTGACAGGAACGATGTCGTTTAGAGAAAAAGCTATTTAGTTGGCTGCGACATATACATTTTGTTGAATATGATGTTCATTATATTTACAGTTCAACACTCACACGTAGGCTTATGAGATTTAAACAGCTTACCTTTAAATAATAAATTAGAAAAAACTATTATTAATCTAATAAATAATAATGTTGATTTACTTGGTTGTAGAACCACTTTTCCGCCTGTTTAGTTACGAATTTCTGCCGCCAAAAATCAAGAGAGCCAGTTTAATTTATTTTTTATTTATTAAATATCTATTGTAACATTACAAAAAGTACAGGATAAGAAGACAGACTTAATGATAAAAGTATTCTCTGACAATTAACCCTAGGGCAGTGATAAAACTACGAAGGCGGTTAAAAGAACATAAATATGCTTGAGTATATATTGCCATGCACACATAATAAATGTAATTATATACACAAATATATAAATGTAAATAATATTAGATACTTAATATAATGATTTAAACATAGACAACTACTTTATTGATGATGAAGCTAAACAGTTATGAAGCAAATTTAGGTAAGAAGCTCGAAAATTCTTCTTAAATGTTTGTCTGCAGGTAGGTTGTCTTAACTTTTCAGGGAGGTCATTCCATAGGCGCGTAGCTTATACGGTGACCTATGAAGATATGAAACCCGAACGGTAAAGGGGTATAAAAGGAACAAGAGCATTGGATGAACGAAGCTGTCTTTCATGGGTGTCGTGCGGGAACTGAAACTTAAGTTTCAGATATTTCCGATCGTGGAAATCGAACGAAATAGAAAAAAAAAACATGCTGAGGATTCTAATGTGTCTTCGCTAATGAATAGAAAGCCATTAAAGCTGAGTGCGGAATGAGGACATATGATCAATCTAGTGAAGACAAAAAATACGAATACTTATCGATAAGACGATCTAGCTTGTCAAAACATACATTAGTACTAGCAATAATCAATAATGGACACGGTATTGCACCATCACCATCGTTGCAACATAGTCACAGACTGTGAGGCATTATGACTTAATCCTCAACAGTAACAACACATCTTTAGCCTTCTGTGACCTTAGCTGGCGGTGTCCTTGGACGATGGACCATCTTATTGACGGCTAGTTATTTTGCCACTTCAATTTATAAAAAACAACATATATATATATATATATATATATATATATATATATATATATATATATATATATACTCTTTACGGTAAATGTTGATCAGACGCGACTTCACGCGAGCACTTTGTTGATCCGAAAACGCATGTTGATCCGGCGCCTTTTGTTGATCCAATATGCCTCTCTGGTAACTAATGTGGCTCCGACCGGATCAACATCTGCACTCAAGAGACTGTTTGCTAGCGTCGGCCGAAGTTGATCCGATATACAAATCCACCTTGCGATGGTTACTGAAAATGTTGATCCGATTTAAATGAGCCAATCAGAGCACAGCAAACGATAAGATAAACGATCAGTTTGGCTGTATGCAGCCGCGACGTTGCCGTTTCGTATCTTTGGCGGTACAAGCTACAGATTAAATGCGTGTTCTGTAATGCATTCAGGGTGCTGTTTGGTCTACCTCGTTATTGTAATGCGCCGGGTATGTTCACGGATGCGAGTGTGGATTGTTTCTACATCACCATGCGTAAACGATGCACATCCCTGGTGCGTAGGGTGCGGGCCAGTTCCAATGGTATCCTGAGGGAATTTTTCGACAAGTCAGTACCTGAACCATTGTCATATGGTGCACGTGCTGACTAATCGGGCCTGTCTTATATGTATATAGTTTTAAAATTAGATAAATAGTTTTAAGTTTGTATTATTACTAACATCTATGATCCTTGTAGCCGTGGTAGCTCAGATGGTTAGCGCTCGCTGTAAATTTCACAATACCCGAGCAAACCGGGTTCGATCCCCGCCGGCACCAATGAAATTGTTAATTGCAATTTAAGTGCTGATTTACCACGTGCTCGTCGGTGAAGGAAAAAATCGTGAGGAAACCTGCATGTCTGAGAAATAAGAAAAAAATTATTTCGAAGACATGTGAAGTTCGCCAACACGCATTGAGGCAGCGCGGCGGACTATTCCTTGCCCTAAAACCCTCTCAGAAATGAGAGGAGGCCTGTGCCCAGCAGTGGGACGTATATAGGCTGTAACTTTACTTTACTTTACTTTACTATGATCCTTGTGGTCGAAATAAACGACTTTTTTTAACGAATTACTCGACAACGCCCCTTCTTGTAGCGGAAGTGGTGGCAACGGCGACATAAGGTATTCGTCTGAGAGCGTGTTTGCGCGCGCGTTGTGTGTGTGTGTGTGTGTGTGTGTGTGTGTGTGTGTGTGTTTGTGTGCATATGTGTGCGCGCGTGTGTGTATGTGTGTGTGTTTGTGTGCATATGTGTGCGTGTGCGTATGTGTACGTGTGTGTGTGTGTCAATGGGTGTGCGTGTGTGCATGTGTGCACTGTTGTGTTTGTGTGTGTGCGTGTGTGTGCGGCAGTGTGCGTGTGTGAGTGTGTGTGTATGCGTTTGTGAGTGTGCGCATGTGTGCATGTTTGCGCGCGCTTGCGTGTTTGTGTGCGTGCGTGTGTGTGTATGTGTGTGTGTGTGTGTGTGTGTGTTTACCATAAACCAGTTAACATGTTTTCTACATCTTCATAATCAAGATTTTTAAGGACGCGTTTACAAAATTGGTAGGTATATGAGACCTTACCTCCGGTCCTGATGGAGTGACCTCAAAATGTAATTCGGGATTACTAGTGGAACTCCTGGACTGAGCCCAAACTCAGAACTGGGTGTGCTGAGTTTGGGCTCGTTTTGTTAGTTATGATGAGTCCTTACCTCCGGATTTGCTAAAGTGACCTGAAGGTGTACTTCGGTAACTAACACTGTAACACCTGGACTAGTAGAACTAGGTATGCCGAGTTTGGGTTTGTTTTGTTAGTTATGATGAAACCGTCACAAAACAAAAGTTCTTTTCACTTTGTCTCTAATACCAATGGGCATCCAAGCTAATATTCAGAAAAATGAATAACCTCGTAGCAACATCGTTAGGGGCAGTATCGATATACACTTACCAGCCACACTGTTTTTCGCTGTAACCAACTGTCCTTTATATGAGCCTCACTTGCCCTCACGCGGTAACCACTTTACTGCACTCCAGTGCACCCACCAACACCTCTGCCACCTACGCCTCCACATCTATCACCGCACCCCTCTCTAAGCTTTCGTTCTCCACCTCCGCTACCTCCGCCTCCACCATAAACTCTGCTCCATCCGCCTCAACAATAAACTCCGCTCCCTCCGCCGCCACCACCACGCGCCGTCACTATTATTACCGCCTCCAACACAATTCACCGTTTCCACTATCTCCGACTTCACCACAAATTCCTCTCCTCCGCCTTCACCACATACTACGCTGCATTCACCTCCGCCTCCACGTCTCCATTCTCCGCCTCCGTTTTCTGGGCACACACACACCGCGCACACACACACGCACTCAGACGAACACGCACGCACGCACACACACCCGCACGCAAGCACACGCACGCACATACACACACAAACACGCACTCAGACGAACACACATGCACGCACATACACCGCACGCACGCACGCACACGCACGCGCATACACACACGCGGGCTCTCGTGCACTCACATAAATACACACACACACGCACACCTACACACACACACATACACACACACAAACACACACACACACGCGCGCACACACACACACACACACACACACACACACAGACACAAAAACACATATACATACAAACACACGCGCGCACACACATACATACACGCACGCGCGCGCACACATACACATACGCGTGCGCGCTAGCACACACAGCCACACACACACTCACACACACGCGCGCGCACGAACGAACACACATACACGCACAAGCACATACACAAATACAAAACAATAGTGGACACACGCACGCACACACGTACACACTCGTACCCACACACAAAAGCAAACACACGCACAACCGCACGCACACACACACACACACACACACACACACACACACACAAAACAATAGTTAACACACAAACACACACACGTACTAAAAACACAACAGTGCACACACGCACACATACACTCACACACACGCGCACGCACCTGCGTTCACACGAACACACATGAACGTACATACACCCACACGCACGCGTACACACAAACTCGCATAAACACACACACACACACACACACACACACACACACACACACACACACACACACACACACCTCGAGTGACAAATTAATTTGTAATAAAGTACTATCCATCATCTTCTAATTGATCTATGAAAAATGAATAAAATAACACAAATTCACTCACACGATAACAAAAACTCGAACAAACGTCTTTCCGCAATAAAACCTGCCAAAGTTTGATCCACAAAATCAGCAGATAACGTATTTTCTTACCTTATTACTATAAGGAAGTAGCCTACTGGGTTCTCTGTCACACACAGAACGCGACGTTGCCGCTTCATGTTCGAGTACCTATTCGTCAATTATGGCTCCGGATCCACTTAGTCTAAGTAAATGTCGCATATAAATTAAATATACTCTGGATCTAAAAAATCATATTCAGTATGATTTTTTCGACCGTTGATAGATCAACAAATGTTGGTCAAATCGCTGACGAGTATATTGAAATCCTGTTAGTGCAGATGCAATGACGTCACACGCGCATCAAGAATGGATCAAAGTATATCAGTTTGTGCGACGAGGAGCTGAGCAAACACATCAAATAGGTGGATCAACAATTGTTAACTTTACTGGTCAAATTGACCGTGAAAAGATGATTATATATATATATATATATATATATATATATATATATATATATATATATATATACATGGAGGAATATGAGGGAGGAGATTTCCCCGATATTCCTGCCATAAATTTACTATTTTATGTGTAACATTATACCTTTCCAAGAAATCCGGAACCACCAGTAATGAATACACATTTCCCAGCGTAAAAGTCCACCACGCTCGCTTGCGTGGAACTATTACTTCTTATTTCAGATGATACTCTGCGCCTGTAAATATTGATAAGATAAAGTTCTTTTACGCTATTTATAAAAAAGGAAAGAGTACAATCCGGAAAGAATTAACGCATCATTATAGTAAATATTTTTCCGTCAAATTTAAATGTGCGTATCAAAAAAGTGATAGGGGTGCATTTATGTTTACATTTTTTTACTAAATCTCAACGTGGTTACTAAACTTCAGGATAAAAATATATAGTAAGTTATAAATCATTTCGTCTAAAATTTGAAGGAAGATATTGCAGTGAGATAAGTAATATCTTATATAGGGTGGGTGTTAATCTACTTCTAATTCTCACATTTTTCATCAGCAGGGCTCGATTAACACTTATTATGCTCTCTTGTGCAGCGAGCAGTTCGACGAATGTCTCTGGGGGAAAGCGCAGTTCGTGTTAATACCCGGGGCAAGTATAAAGAGTTCTTCCTTCACGTGGTTGCCACCTATTATTTGGTTTGGTTCAATAGGAAACAGACATAACAAAAACCAACAGACAATCCTCTTTTTCTTTTCTTTTTATCCCACCCCCTTTCTCCTATCCTAACTCAATTCATGGTGTTAAGCGTACCGTGCTGATGTATAGGTGGCTGAAAGGAAGTCCAGTTGCAAACGGTGCCTACCCGAGGCTATTAGTGGAGTATTTCAGCCCTTCCCTCGACATGCGGAGCTCTGCCGGGGTGACCGAATATTTTTCTAGCTAATCGTGGGACCAAAATGGATGAAGCTACTTCACTTTCCTTTAATGGAACTATCTGTAGGTTTGGAAGAGACTCTTCTAGTCTCACCAATATCCTGCGACACAACTTCCCGACCTGGGACGACCCGTAAAGTACAGGGCACGTCTGGAGCCGAACTATAAACGAAAACGAACCAAGTAGGGGAAAAGAAAAAGTTCGCTAGGCCTTATAGGCTTAGTAGGGCTGCGCGGAAGAGGTACGGGAAGAGGATAGCACCTGAGATAGTAGCCGAACAGGCCCTCTCTCTCTGACAGAAGCTCTTGGACGAAATTCTTGTGCCCGAACCTCCCCCGGTTTCGAAGGCGAAAAAAGCAATCGGTCTGATGAGGAGTGTCCCAAAAACTAGCTCAGGAAATCTGTGAAGTTGGCAATGGGCAAGTAGAAGCTCAGCTTCAGTGCCGTAACTAGCTCGAATCTTATGAGAGTGAGCAAATGCGTCTGGTACACCGGACACTAACACAGGCTCACTAAGACAGCTTGTGGGGCGCAGCAAGGAACAGGATCAAAATTTTTGGGTTTCACCCACAAGCTAAGTTGCATTCTGGTAACGTGCCTGAATAGGGGAAGCCAGGACTGGTTGGTGGGTGAGGTCTGAAAACTGAAACCCTGGTCGTAGGAAGTGCTCTCGATAACATCTGAGGGCGAACTGCCTATGCCTCAACTGTATACACATATCTGCCTCGCACTAAAGCTGACTCTCCAGAAGAGGCGGCTGCATTGTTTTGGGCACATAATGTAAGGCTCCACATTGAGATCTAGAAAATCCTCTCCGTAGAAATGAGGAGAATGGGTTACTAGTAACCTTTTCTCTGGATGACCCATCGGCGGAGGGTCTCCGGGCGGCAGTTGGCAGAGTCGTCTTTGGTTTTAAAATGATAACGCTTTTAAAATCAGGAGAGGCTCTAACGTGAAAACGGAACCTGAACCGCCCCAACTCTAACTCCCCTAACCCTCCACTTCATGGGGTAAACCTGAAATGTCGTCAACGAGAGTTACTGAGACCCAAGGCACTGAATTCTCCTCGGGTCGATGACCTCCGCTGGTTTCGGCCGGGGATAAGGGAAAGGGATGAGGAAATCATAGAAAAAAAGGTGTGGTTGTGGTTAAGAGCGCCAGTAAAGGACATCTTCGTCCTCAGCAGGCGAAAGCGACCCCGGACACTCCACGCCTATAAATAGCTAACCTAAAGGGTAGGACCAGGTTCCTCCAGATAAATCTTTACCATGCAGCAGCTGATTCTACCGGGTTAGAGGTTTGCTTTGCAGAGAGCAACATTGACCTTGCACTCATACAAGAGCCTTAGGTAGCCAACGATGAAGTTCTGGGATTGTCGGCTTCTGGTAAGTTTCTTGTCAATACTAAAGGCAGTAGACCCAGACCTTGTATAATTTACAACAAAAACATTAAACTTTTAGCTGTTTCAGACTACTGCTTTCATAAATCTTAAGGGATGCACAGGAGCCAGAGTAATAATATGCTCAGCATATCTGTACGGAGAGATCCCAGACCCTGCCATCGAGTTAGAGCGAGTGGCTGAGTTCGCCCGAAAACACAACGCCGAGTTCGTGGTGGGTTATGATGCCAATGCTCACCACACAGCCTGGGAGAGCACTAACATCAAGGAAAGAGGTGGGTTACTTTATGACTTTCTTATATCCTTTCGCCTGGTAAGCCTAAATTTAGGGTGTCCACCAACCTTTTTATCGTGTGGTAGGCAAGAAGTGTTAGATATAACCTTTGCTAATAATACCATATACAGGCGGATAACTGATTGACATGTTAGTAGAGAAAACTCGATATCTGATCACAAAAACACTAAGTTTTTGTTTGGAGCATCACCAATCTAAGAAACTATCCTAAAAGCATCAAAGTGAAGTAAGTAACGGAGACTGTAACCGTGGGTATCAGTGTAGCCTTTGAGGCCAATTGTCCTGTTAAAATCAAGATCTCAACACGAAAAATTCCTTGGTGGAACACTAAGCTAAAAAAGCTTAGGGAAAAGACCGGAAAATCGACCGGATATTTATAGTGCAGCCCTAACTGAATGTAATAAAGAAATCAGGAAAGCTGAGAGAGCATCGCGCATATATAAGGCTGTTAGAAAGAACTACGCTTTACCAAAGTCCTTATACCAACAAGCCTTCTTCTTTCTTCTTAAGACATTGGAAAAGGTTATAGATAGATTTATAATATATATATATATATATATATATATATATATATTTTATTTATATATATATGTATGTATATATAAGGGATAGAGATCCAGCTACGAGGCCTATATATTATAACCAGCACGCTAACCGCAGAGGCAAATCTACGGCAAAATTAGCGCTGTTTCAAACTTCGATTGAGGTTGCAACTACAAAAGGATGGCCACAAGGAGGTGTATTGTCACCCCCCCTTCTTTGGACTTTTGCGGTTGATTAATAATTTATCGTTAATCATACAAAGAGCCCTAAATATCACAAATTTCTGGTGTAGGGATAACAGTTAGTCAATGCTGATAAATTATAATACCGTCTATCAAAACTTAATGGTATTTTAGTACCATTCTCAACTGAAGTTAAGTACTTGGGCATAACAATCGACCAAAAACTAACATGAAACTCTCACCTTAGCAACAAATGTCATAAGGCTATTTGGACCTGAGTCATTTTGTAGAATCTCAAAAAGCCTACCCCGATTGACCCTTGAAACTCATTATCACAATAAATCACTTAAGATCTGGTCTGCTACACTAGGCTTAAATCATTCTAAAATCTTAATCCGGACTTTTGATAGTAAATTCGCTTCAGAATACCTGCGATTAGGTAAAAATAAATTGCGCTTGGACACTATTGTCTTAAAAAACACATTTCCATTCTGGGACTAAGCAACTTAAGGATGTGCCGGTTTTGCTCCGTGACGGAAGAAACGCCTCTAAATATCCTAACTGATAGTGAACCCTAAATGCGCAAACGTAACACTAATCCGGGAAACTATCTACTCCGCTTAGAAGAAGTGAAATTGCTTACACCTAAGCAACTCCTTCTTTTCATTGAAGATATAGGGCTTAGCAGTGAACTACAGCCGTAGCAGCGGTCACAATAGATCGTTTAGGTTGCAGTGATACTAGTCACTCACTCTAGACCTGCATAGCTGTTCACACCAAAAAATCTTATAAAACTGCATTAATATTAATATCTTATCAAACATATTAATTTTGAATTATTTTACATGTGCCTATCTATGGTAGAGGCCTGTGTACACCAGTGGATTTTTTATAGCCAATAACAAATGATTGATTTAATGGATAATAATACTTAAAAATTACAATATAAAATTACTTTTAGACCTATTAAGCCTACAGAGACTAAGGTATGACGATACGATGATGAGATTGACTCAATTTAAGCTGAGTGTCAGGTTAGGACGAACATCAACAGATCGGAAAATCAACATTTTGTGTTTTTGCGAATACGTTAACTTAATTAGCACCCTTTGTAAACATTTTCATACAGGGAACAAAGAACAGAGATTAGAATAAAACTAATAAAACAAAACTTACATAAATATCCTCACATTTGGACACCATTTCATCTTGCGTGTATTAGCGACTGATAAAAAATTAATATCACACAAAGCACGCCGTGTAAAGAACATTGTATAAATTTTATTAAAAATATATACAAATGAATTCCTAATGACAAAGTAAGTCAGAAACTCGTGATACAGGTGCAGGTCACTTGCATACGGTTCAGTAAGTGAATTGTCACTATCAGGGATTTATACAAGTGAGAAAATGTAAGGTCACATTTCCCAGCAGCGCTTGCTTGCAAAACCGGATTTACCTGTTGCTAGTACAATTACGTTGGCATAATTGGCCTGTAAATTTCGTCTCGTGCGTGTCGTATGAGGCGACAGAGGGAAACTGAAACAGAATATGGGCACAAGCATTTTTCTGATAAAAACTCAAATTTATAAAAAACTGGGGTTGCAAAGTGCGGTAACTATGCCCGAATCTCCTTTGTAAGGCAATGTGAGGGGGAAGCCTATGTACGGAAGCTAGGAAACCTATGGATGCTGTACTCTATAGACATTTTCATTTATCCTCGAGCGAGAATCAAAATGCCTTGTCACCCCTGAGGACGAAGATAGAATGCCTCGTTTCCAGAAAAAGAGGTCACCGGTTATCTACACTCACTATGCGAAACACAAGCAGCCTTAAGTTGCTATTTTACGCTGGTATTCTGTGAGAACGTGGTCATACCCCGGTTGAGCTATAACTGTTATAGCTACAGCATGGCTCTACCACGTAAAGTGGTATAATGATATAACATTGGCACGACCGCCTTTTATTGTTAGTAGATTTTTTTTGTTACTAGATCGCAACTACCAATAAATCGGTTAGGAACGTATTACCTGTTTTTCGCTCTGCTCCCTCAAGATATTATCCATCATTCATTTATAAAATATAGCCAATCAAAGTCCACTGCCGAACGTAAGGGTACATTTGCCACAGTTCCCTCTCTTAGCAAGTGGCTTAACAATTGCATTTTTTTATTATTTTGATTGACTTTTTTATTGTTTTGTTTTGAAGATACTGTTGCCTATCTCACGTTTCATTTCTCTCTGTCGTCTTTTACAGTACTCACGGGATAGTATGGGGTCTTAGAGCTTCTGAGTAATATCATATTATTTGGTAGGAGGTAGTGAATTTCTTTTTAGCCGCAATTATACAGCGTTATCAAGGTCTTGCCTTATCTTTAAGATTTAGAAATATTTTCATACAAGCAGATAAAACTTTTCTTTAAATATAACATATGGCTTATATTTTCCGCTAAACAAGTGGTAAATCTAAAAAAATAAAAATAAATTACCACATGTATGAAAGATCATCACTTAAGAAAGGCTGAACAGATTTCGATGAACTCTCACACTTATAATTGGACCTTGTCAATATGTGGCATTGTTGTCAAGATAGAAAACAGTCGTGACAAGCCTGGGCGGGTCGTTTGTCAGCATATACATTATGATTACAAATGGGATTCAGCTCGCTCACGTGTGTCTGTGAAAACTTAGCATTGACATTATTAGTTTATTATAATTATTAGTTTTTAAAGTTTACGAAAAAAATATTTGAAAGGAAATAATATCACTTGTTTTCGAAAACAATTTACTTAATCATTTGAATAATAATAATTCTGGTCCTATTTATTTTAATATTTTTAGGCATATAAAGTAATAACAATAAATTACTAAACAAAAACGAGTATATAGATGTCGATTGTTGCTAACATTGCAAACGAAATCACTATAGATTACAGACAATTGGGATGTCATTTTTCTAGTAAATCAGAACATATGAGTGTACTTATTATCATATTTGGCATAGTATAAAGAGGGAAAAGATGACCACTTGACATATCTATTTCCACGCATGAATTACACGCAACATCGTTCAATAGATTTGTCTCTTTTTGACTTATGTGAAAATTAAATTAGAAAAAGCGAGACAATATACTATATATATATATACTGACCCAATTTATGTAGAATTGTAGGTTCCCTCTTTGCATACGTATGTATGTAGTTACTCTAAGTATCAATATAAATTCTTAAATAACGTATATTATGGATAGTGGTAATAAAATAGGTCATGTTTTTTAAAATAAGGTTTATCTTATTTTAAAATTAAACACCTTTTTGACAAATTAAATGAAACACTTACTTTAATTATACACATGATCTTATTTGGCCTTTGTTTTTGTAGGCATGAGATCAATAATCATAAAATTAAAAAACCTCAAAGAAAAACAAAAAACAACATTATTCCTTAATTAAGAGTTAGGTAATGATTAAAAAATATATTAGTGTATCGTTTCCATACAAAAAGTTTAAATTATGCCTGGTAACAATTGTCACAAATTTTTATCATCGAAACGTATTGCTGATAGTAACAGAAGAAAAGGTTTGCGAAAAACTATATCAAAATATTGTTCTAAATAAAACTAGTTTTTTACGGATTATATCGCCTATATTAACTTTTTTATGCAGCCGACGTTTCGAGCACTTTACAGCACCCGTGGTCACAGGGGGGACGAAGATTTTCAACGTTAAGATGTCATAGTTAACCGCGGTTACCGTAGATTAAAATTATTAATTTTTGTTCTGTTCTATGCAGTATGAACTTATAGTATCTTGAAGTCTTGCAGTTGTGTGCTTGGGTTGGGATTTAATTTTGTTAATTATGTGATCCCAAGCAGATTGTTAGTACCCAGCCATATTCTGTATTGAAAGTAGGATGTTTTTTTGATTTTAATACCCTCGCGAATCATCCTTGCAAGGAATCGGTGTTCTTTAGTTAGGATTTGGGGTCTATTAAATCTGATGTAGTGACGGGGGTGATCCTGTATACATTCACAGACTGCGGACTTCTCGGAACTTCAATTATTCACATCAGCTATATGTTCTTTAATGGGAGTATTAATTGATCTTTTAGTTTGTTTTCTAGGTAGGAGAGACCACATTCACAATCAAGCTGGTACACTCCTGCATATTGCAGAGGGACAATTAACTTGACTGATGGTAAAAATCGACTAATCTTTTTCGGCAGCTTGTAGTATGTTTTAATGGAAGTACGCTTCAAGATCAATCAGTGACTGACGTGTCGTACGACAGTAACTCCTGATAGAGTGGAAACTTGCGAACTTTTTTCTTCACACTTTTCATCCATGTACTCTGAAAATACTGAATGTACTGAGCAGGATTATGTTTGTGACCATTAGGAGTCATTGAAATGAATAGAAATTAATAGCCTTCACCTAACACAGCTGAAAATTGATCATGTTACCCTATTAAATAAATTAAAAAGCATGAAATGTAATAAAGGAGCAGGTCCTGATGGAATGCCTCCAGTGTTTGTAGTCAGATGCGCTGAACACCTTGTTAATCCACTATTAATTATATTCAATTTTTCTCTTTGTACTGGGCAATTTCCTACTTTATGGAAAATAGCTAAAATCGTTCCGGTTCATAATTCGATCTCTATACTATCAGTCTTTGCTAAATTATTAGAGTCAATTATTTGTCCTTATATTTAGAGATATATCAATCTTTTCTTAACCACTAGCCAACATGGTTTTGTTAAGTCTAGGTCTATGGGCACTAATTTGGTACATATTACGGAAATACTAATTGAAGCACTTGATGCGGGGAAACAAGTCCACGTAATATATACTGATCTTAGCAAAGCATTTGATCGGGTCCCACATGACATATTGGTTCGTAAGTTAGCTGCCTATGGTATTACTGGTAGTATGTTAAAATGGCTAAACTCCTATTTAAAGGACCGAGTGTTTTTTGTAGTGGTGAATGGATATCAGTCAGGTTTAAAAAATATTAATTGCAATGTGCCCCAAGGGTCATCGATTCTGTTTGGGGTATTCGTAAATAAAATTCCAGAATTGATGAAATGTACTCATGTGTACTTGTCAGGATGACTTAAAAGTTTGCAAGACGATTGTGGGAGAGAACGATTCAATAAAGCTACAGAACGATTTTGATCAACTGATTAAATGGTTCAAAGTAAATCGTATGAACTTAAGCATTAGTAAATGTTTCTATGTGCAATATCCGCGAAAAAGTAGCACTATCGACTTTAGCTATCACATTGGATATAATAAAACACAGCAGTTAAACCAAATTAGAGACCTCGGGGCTATATTTGATAAAAATTAACTTTTGTACCCCACATTGAAAACTTTACTAAACGTGCATCTAGGATGTTGAGTTTTGTCATAAGATATATCAAAGTCTTTCGAAGCGCTAAAATTAAAATTCTTTTATGTAACAGTTGGCATGAAGTACATTAGAGTACTGTGATGTAGTCTGGAGACCTCATTACGCTACACATTCACTGATAATCGAGCGGATCCAAAAAAGTTTTATAAGACATCTTACGCAAGTGGATTTAGAAGTTATAAGAAGTGTGTATCACATGAAAATAATTTGATCTATTTCAAAATGATTTCTCCAGAAAATTGCAGGGATTTGATTTGATTGATCATGTGGAAAGAATGACTGAGGAAAGAGTGACAAAGAAAATTTATGTTGAAGAAGTGAATGGCAGAGTCGGAAAGGGACGTCCTAGCCGAAAATTTATTGACCAAATTGGCGATTTATTAAAACGAGCCAAATTAGGAGTACCCTTAACCGACGAGCATGTATGCGTAGGTATATGGATGTGAAGGAGGCGAGAGAGGTGTGTCAGGATCATGCCAAATGGAAGTCTGTAGTCTCTGCCTACCCCTCTGGGTGACAGGCGTGAGTGTTATGTATTATGATTTGATTGATTTGATTTTTGCTTCTAAAATTATAGTGGTGTTATTGACTTTCCTGTAATTTTAAGTAAATTTAATATGTGTCTTCCCCTTCGTTATCCGCGTTACGCTCATAATATTACAACATTGACTAGACCATGTCGAAGAACAGTGTTTGGCTCCAACTCTCTAATTGCTAGAATGAGTAAACTTGTTGACAAATTTAGAGATAAAATTTATATATTTTACAACCCTCCTAACAAGCTCCGTCGCACCTTAAAGAGACTGTCTTTTGTAATATTTTATAAAATATGTTCTTTCCTTTTTGCTTCGTTGTTGCGT